AATAAAAAGTAAATACCTAAGACTCAAAAAGATGCTCTGGTAGCATAGTGCCTAAGGCATTTGACAGCTAACCAGAAGGCTGGCAGTTCAAACCCACCAGCCACTCCTAAGAAGAAAGGCTGGGCAATCTACTTCCATAGTGATATTGCATCGGAAACCCAAGGAAGAGTCTCTATGAGTCGGGTTCAACTCGACGGCACTGAGTAAGACTCAAAAACCACCATTAACTTAACAGTATTTTGTTGTTTTATGTACGTTAGGCTGGTCAAGCAGCTAAGTACTTTCAGCTTGCTCAATCTGTGTTGGAGTAGCTAAATACAATAAAAGGAAAAAGGACACCAAAACTGCTAAGCAACAATGTACAATTAATTAAGTAGGTGAAAGAATTACAAGGAAAGCTACATTGCTCTCAAACCAAGGTCCTACCCTTCTTATTCCTTTAGTGACTTGTCTTCTATTTAAAGTCTTGCTCTTTGCTTTCTTTGGCCAGACAAATAAAGGTGCAGAGGCATATTTAATGTGAAACTACATGCTAGTAGTAGTATAGATGTTCTTTTACCCTGCTTCAGTAAATTCAAGAGAAAAATATAAGTTGTTCTAATAAGATAACAGCAAAAATGGACACACATTGATAAAAACAGTTGTATTAATTGCATCACACACCAAACCAAGACCAAACTCACTGCCATCAAGTGGGATCCAACTCATAGTGTCCCCTCCTTGGGTTTTCTAAGCAGTATCACTACAGAAGTCGATTGTTCAATCTTCCTTCTGAGGAGTGGCTGGTAGGTCTGAACCCCTAGCATTCTGGTTAACAGTCAAATACCTTATGCACTATACCACCACAGTTCCCACATTGAAATTAAAACTGCTTATGATTAAAAAAAAAGTGTGTGCATATAGATAAGATGATGAACTATAAAGTCAAATTAATTCTTCTTTTAGAATGCTGTTCCTTGCTTCAAAACAAGCCCTCTCAGTCTATATATTCAAGATTCCCTTGTTAATAGAAAGTAACAAAGTTTCAACATAAGTCAACTAGTAATACTATTTTTTTTCACTTTCCTCAAAACAATTATCATGTATAGTAACAGAACACAACTACCATATGCAACTGCCCTTCAAGGTTACACACTTGTAATGCAAAGAAATAAGTATAATACAAATAAAGCCTTAGGTCAATACTTAAAAAAGAAGCAATTAATAGTATCTTACACAACCCATTGCTGTCCAGTGGAATCTGACTCATAGTGACCTTCTAGGACAGGGTATAACGGAGCCATAGGGATTCCAAGGCTGTAAATCTTTATAGAAGCAAACTGCATCATCTTTCTCCCGCAGCGACTTGTGGGTTCAAACTGTTGACCTTTTGGTTAGCAGACGAGTGCTCAACCATGACACCATACTCATGTAATATTACATAAAGAAAAAAAGACTAGATGTTTCATCTGAACTAAAAGATGAAAGAAATAATTCTACAATTATAGAATTCGGTACATATTGAGAACACATTTATCTTCAACTAAAAATGTATTGTTTTACCACCAAAACTTGTCCAGTACAATCCTGTGTCTGCCACTTCTTGAACTTCACTGCTAAAGAAAAAGTATAACCTGAATTCTAAACAATAATAAAAGATGAGTTTCTCTGTGACAGGATCTCTCTTGATCAGCCCTGTACCCCTCAGGCGCTGGTTCCACAGCCTATGTGTCATGAATGTTACTGAAAAACACTAAACTGTCAGCTAACACTTCCAAAGATTTAAGCTAGTCTGAGCTATGTTTGTATTTAGGGAACTCTTGAACAAATTGCATGAGAAACCTCTTCACACATTTTAAAGCAATGAATGTGGAGGTCAGAAAATGAGAAGTCTCCTGATGTAAGCTCAACCTGACCCAAACTACACAGTAAACTGTAAATGACTTCAAACTTATAGCTCTCTCCTGTGTTATCCATTTCCTGCCTCCCACCTTGCCTTGCCCTGCCTGCCTCTCTCTCTCTCTCTCTGTCTCTCTCTCTGTCTCTCAATCTCTCTCTGTCAGTATTCCTCATAGTTGATACCTTCAGAAAGTACTTCAACTAGTTCCTTAGTTCCTATCAAGGTGATTCTGACTGATGGCAAACTTGTGTGCATCAGAGCAGAACTGTGCTCCACAGGGTTTGCAGTGGCTTATTTTTTTGGAAGTAGATCATCAGGCCTTTTTTTTTTTTTTTTGAGGCATCTCTTGGTGGACTCAAACTTCCTACCATTTACTTAGCACCCAAATGTGTCACTCATCTGTGCCACCCAGGGATTCCAAAGAACTTCAAGAGAACCTGAAATCAAGGACAAGGGACCTCTGGCTTTCTTAGGTCTACAATGACCCTCTCTGCCATACCCAGTATCAGAAACCAAGAGATCCCTGATATTCTTTGAAGGATGTTAAACCCTCTTAATCTTGATTCTGCCTGGAGTGATGATGTGTCCTTAACATATGACAGATAGATGAACTGAAATATTCCTCTGTCTAGATCCACCAGCCAGTACATATTTACAATATCTTGTATATAAATGACTCTCAAATCTGTATCTCTAAATCAGTCAGTCACAATCCTAAAAAAAAAAAAGTCAAAGTGAGATCTTTACCTTGCCTATCACAGTAAAGTTTTTCCAACTTTTCTTTTAGAGACAGAAGAACTCCTAGAATAACTGCAAAGGGGAGGGGTGAGTTCCCCCTATATTTCAGTCACCAGTGCTGATGATTTTCCCTTTACAATATTTCTCTAGGTCCTTCCCCCAGAACTTTCACTCAGGTCTCAACTAGCTCATGACTGAACTCCAGTTTTCTTTCTGCCTTAACCTTTTTGGCACTCTAAAAAATTCCCCATGTGTCACAGTCCATTTTTCAGATGCCCCTGGTACGGTAACTCCATGCAGAGGAGTATTAAGGTTTCTAAGGAAGGTTGGGCAATCCTACTTCCGTAGTGATACTGCCTCGGAAACCCAAGGAGGGGTCGCTATGAGTCGGGGCTGGCTCGATGGCACATAGCAACAAACAACAACTGCCTCAGAAAACCAGGGAGGGGTCACGATGAGTCGGAACAGAGTCAACAGCAGTGAGTTTGAGTTTGAGTGAGTAATCTGAGTGCATTTTAACTTCAAGCCCTTTTCACAACTGTACTTTCCATAGATACCCTCATCACCACCTTCAAGTCTGCCACAATCCATGGGAGCTTGTTGCCCCTTGCTTTGCATTCATATTTTCCATATAACATGCCTCTTGGTAACTACTGAGACAACAGTAATTCACTCTCCATTTAATACCCCAATCCTATAACTCTTGTATTGTGTACTTTTCTACCCTTCTTAAACTCCATCAAGGTAGGTAGGTGTTATGTGTGTGTGTGTGTACCCATGTACTTTAATGCTGGTGGAAACCAAAATCTATCCATATCAATTTGACCCAATTTAAATCTTCCCTCACACTTTATCACTTGCTTTAGAATTTAAGCAAATTAAATTTCTACACAACTGCATTAGCTTTTTGAGAAGTGTTAGTATATATTGTTTATAGGCTTATCAGTACTGTTCTATAAATAACTAGTTTGCATTCTGATGGAGATATTGTTGTAGACTACAATCTCCACGCAGGTACCGCTTAACAGGTAAGGTAAGCTATGATAGGACCTGTATCAACATTATACATTTTCTTTTCATTTTCATGGCAATTGTAAACAATTGAAAGTTACATGTAATATAAAATTGTCACTGCTTTCAGTAAAATTCCTGGCACTCATTGTTACCTTCAGAACTTTTACAAGTTCTTCCCCCAGGGCTTTTCCCTAATAACCCTATACTCAATGCCACAATTCAAAAGCCTCCAGCTTTAGCAAACTCTGTTCCAAAGTAAAGAAAGCAATTCGTGATTATTCAAGTGATCATTATAAAGTGAGTAACAGCTATTCTCTTGTCAGTCTCCTGGGGCTGCAATTCAGCACCTTCAGAGACATCTGTCTCCCTCCCTCTCCCTTACATTCTTATAACCCCTTTCCATGTACTGCCTCTCTGGACAGATACTGGTATAGTCTAGAATTCAGAACTGCTCTGTAAACAGTGGTAGGCAGATTCAGTGTCTTCCCGAGGTGGTCAGGTCCAACCCTTTTCCCACCTTGTTTTTGGTGGCCGCTGTCCAGAGCTCCATACCCTCACACTTCAGGAGCACAGGCACTCTCTGGGAAGTCCTGTGCATCACCTTCACCACTTTTAAGTTGTCTGCGCCCCCACTTTAGTGTCCCACTATCAAGTGCCCAGAGGACGAAAAGCAAGAAGGCTACAACTTCCTGGTCTTATCGCTGGAAAATGTGTTTCCACGTTCATATAGAGGTGGCACTAAAAGACAAGCAGGAGGATTATTTGTGGCCTGGTCAGTCGTTTTCACAGCTGGCCGCACCCATCAACCTCTCATAAAAACTTAGCTGACAGGTGAGAAATTCCTTATCTCTAGATCACTCCAGGAGCTCCTCAGTATCTAAGTGAGCTGAAAGAGGAATCTGAAGGGGAAGGGGGTGGTGCTGAAATAGTGCTGAGCTGGGGAGCTGGGGGGAGGGTGAGCTGATTGCAGTGGAGGGAGAATTCTGGCGCCAGAAACAGGCTGGTCCAGGGTCCGGATGGAGTAGAGGGGAGAGCTGGGAAGTCTTAAGGGAAGGGAGGAGCGCGCCAAGAAAAGGGCATGATACCTGGAAATGTCATAACGGGATGGAAATGGGTGAGGAGGATGCACTCTGGAGAAATCGGGTAATAAATCAAGACGGGACGAGGGGAGAGCGGCGGCAGGGAAGGGAAAGCCTCGGGATGCGGGCGTCCAACCTCAGCCGGTGCCTGATCCTTCCGGAGTGCTGGCGAGGCTGGCTCCCGGCAGAGTCCCCGTAGCCGGAAAGTTGGCGCGGCGAGGGGCAGCGAGCCAGGCAGCGCCCCCTGTGCGCCGGGGAAGCGCCGATCTCCGAGCCGCGCGGCGCCTTACCTTCTGGTCGACGATGGAGCAAGCCATCTCGCGGACGTGAGCCAGGTTGTAGTCCCCGCACGAGTCCTGCAGCAGCAGCACTGGCTCGCGGCTCAGGCCGATTTGCAGATGGAACGAGATGCCCCC